GGGGTGGGGGGTTAAAGGTGTAATGGGTGGAAATTTTGAGCCACATCATGTAGAGATGGAGACGGTGGGCGTCGGCAGAGAGAAAGAGCAAAGCAGGGAAGAAATGGGGAGCACGAGGGGGAGGGGAGCTTGGCTGCTTGACTGTGCGGGTGAAATGAATGTGTAATTGAGTTGTTGTGGCTCAACCCTTGAACAACTGAGTGATGGAGGGAGCGGCAGCCACAAGATCCCCCGGAGAAGGTGGCTGAGCCCGTGGCTGCTAAACGCAGGGAGTTGTCAGTAGCAGTGTAAAGGTGCCAACAGCACCAGGTAGCAACATGTCCATCGCTCACTGCAAAGTGTCAAAAGCATGGCGTGTGGAATTTATGAGCGTGATTAAGTCAGGAAAGCATGAAGAAAGCATGAAAACTGGTCACTGGATTGATGCAAGGAACCACAAATTCAGCTTCCTCCTCTCTATTTGATGCCCTCTCCTCCATCTTTCCCCGTGACAGACCACCCATTCCTATTTACATTTTTAAACATTCGCATCAATCTCCTCTTTATTTTGCCTTCGCCTTCCTCCTTCCAATCACTTAGAGCAAACCGAGCAGGGGTGAAGTAGAGGGTAATTAAAATGGGAGTGCTGTGCGTTGAAATGAAGCCAGTACAAATACACACCTCAACCCTAAAACAGCAAGCCGTGGAGATGAAAACATGAATGGAATAGGAAGGACTGTGTGTGTCATCAGGAACTATGTTAACAATATATATATATATATTTGGATGTTGTTTTAATCAAACATTTCTTTTATAGAGACTAGACTAGCCTTCTTTGATGACCCATGTACACACCCTTCCCTCGCACACACACACGCGCACACAGAGATCACGAGCAACGCTGCAGAGCTTTGATTGATGTCCTTAGTTCATTGAAACAGGTGAGATGGTGACAGCTCAGAAAAACAAGAGGGGAATCAGATCCTGGTTACTATACCACAGTTACTGCAGAGAGAGGTATTGGCAAGACCAGGGAGGGTGCAGATGGAGGAGTCACCTTGAGGGAAAGGCGGAGGGAAGTGACACAGTGGGAATGCCAATTTATTTATTTTCAGGTCACAAGCTTGTAGATATTGAAGAACACACCTGAGAAGCAATGGATTTGTATGCTGGGCCTGAATAATACAAAAAGGTTATAATATATGGCAACAACATGAGCAAATCCTGAAATCTCTCCAAGTGTTAGCTGTTGGTTCTTGTCTGTTTGTGGTACAAGCAGGTTCAGCAGTGACTAAATGCTGGCTTCAGTGGAACTCCGCTCCCCCCTCTCTCAGTGGAAGTTTGAGTGGAAGTGAAATAATATTGATTTAACTCTCAGGCGCAGCTTTATAGATTGATTGTCATACCAAGCAGCCTTTATCCACAATAGTACTGCCCTCAGGCAGCCTAGATTTACTGTTTATCACAGCAACAGATTCAGGTTTGAAATCCACGGTGAAATGTTTTAGAATGACTCAGCCAGGACATTGGAGAGGATTGATTATAATGTTAGTTACACATCACTGAGTACGAAGTGAAATGGCGGAATATATTCAAATTATATTTAATAAATATATCGGGCATGGCTGCTGTTTTGGTGCTATTTTAAAATCTCCCCAAAACTGGGCAGGACACAAGTGTGCCACATTACACCACAGTGACATCTATTGGTGAAATGCTGATATTCACCCAGAGAGTGAGACGGGTGGCAGGAGCAAATCCTTTTATTCCAAAGTGTCAGGTTCACTGATATCAGAAGACAATTTATTATCTGTAGCCCTGCCTTATTCCATAAACACACCTGTAAATCCACCAGTGAAAACAGTGCGACAGTTTTTCTTAGGTGAACTTCTTTTAGGGCAATACTGGCTTTTCAATACTGAAAGAAGCATAATATTTTATCACAAAGCAAAGAAAAGAAACTAGCACATTTACCACTTCATTTTTCTCCACTCACCACAGGACTGTTTCACAGATGACATTTAGGCGTTTCTTAGTAGAACAGGTGTTACCAATAGCAACATGGCACCATTCTATGTCCCAGCAAGCATCATTAATTTAATTAGCACTCATTTAATTATGCTTTTCCTAATTTGTCATTTCATTTCATCATTTCATCTTCATATTCACATAAAGTATATGTATCTAAAAAGCAAATACACCTTATTAGTCACACTCTGCTAATACCAGGTTTGACCCATTTTACCTTTAAAACTACTTTAATTATTCATAGTGCCACACATTCAATAAGATGCTGGAAACATTCTTCATAGATGGGTTTGCTGGGTGCACATCTGTGATGTGAATCTCCGTTCTGTCACGTCAGCAAGGTGCTCTACTGGAATGAGCGCTTGTGACGGTGGAGGCCATTTGAGTACAGTGAAGTCACTGTCGTGTTCAAGAAACCAGGTTGAGATTTTTTGAGCTTTGTGATAATGGTGCTTTGTTCTGCTACACTATGGTTATTAATTTGTACTTTCTTCATAATGTCTCCCGTAATTTCTTTTTTTAAAATCCGTTTCTGGGAAGCACTTTTATCACTCTTGTTTTAAGTAGTGCCATACAAATAAACATTATTATTATTATTATTTATAACAGGATGGACATGGCCAGTAATGATGCTTCGGTAGGCTGTGGCATTTAAATGATGCTCAGTTAATACTAAATAGCTCAAAGTGTCAGAAGAAAATATCCCCACATCATTACAACACCCCCACCAGCCTGGACTGTTGATACAAGGCAGGATAGAGCCATGCTTTAATGTTTTTTATGATATATTTTGACGCCAAAATCAGAATTTTGCAGCAGACGTTCAGACTCATCAGCGCAGGCGACATTTTTCCAATGTTCTACTGTCCAGTTTTGATGACCTGGTACAAAATTGTAGCCTCAGTTTCCTATTCTTGGCTGACAGGTGGTCAACTGCTGCTGTAGCCCATCTATTTTAAGGTTTAATGTGTTGTGCGTTCAGAAATGCTCTTCTGCATATCTTGGATTTAACCAGTGGTTATCTGAGTTACTGTTGTCTTCCTATCAGCTTGAAATAGTCTGGCACTTCTCCTCTGGCCTCTGACAGTTACTCAGAGCGACTCATTTCACACCAATAATCATGCCACATTCAAATCACCTGTCTTCTTCTCTCTGATGCTCAGTTTGAACTTCAGCAGGGCGTCTTGACCATATCTACATGACTAAATGCACTGAGCTGCTACCATGTGATTAGATGATTAGATATTTCAATTAACAGGCAGTTGACCAGATGTACCTTATAAATAGTTCACCAATTAATTCCTTGTTTACGCTATTTTAGCAGATGAATACTCCGGAATATGTATACATTGGTGTTACCATTAGAAGAGAAAATACAAAGCCGGCTACCTTAAAATCTGCAGATGAAAATAGTGCCAGACGGCACTCTGTTCTGAGTAACAGTCAGGAAAACACTTGAGCCTACTTGTGTTTTCAGTAAGTGGCAACAATAAGGGGAAGTTGGAAAAAAAAGAGACGCATTTCTTTAAAACAAAACCAAGGACAAGTCAAATGAGTTTTAGGGGAGATTAATTTTGTTCTTCTGACTGATAATGGGAACAAAATAACTGAATACAAATGTGTCCTTTGTTCATAGTCACGGGAGTGGAAAGTGGTCGGGAAAGTGCATTAGGCGTGGCACTGTCGGGGAAACGCTAGTCCTTAATTAAATAAATATGTTTTGAAGTGTCCTTGATTGTACGTTAGCGAAACCTTTGTTTAAAGGATCAAGGACCCTCTGCCTCTTCGGTGGTGAAAATTATGCATGTTTTGGGATGTGTATTCTAATGCAGATAACAATTTCAGGTTAAAAGCTGAAAGACTGTTTGTCTCATGCCTGCCTTATACCTTCTAATACTACTGAGCACAAAGGAATATGTTTTTAAAAACTGGACAAAGCAGTGGTGTTCTTCTTACAGCTCAGCTGAATCTAAAATAACCCTTAACCATCGAAATAGCAAAATGTATCGATTTTTTTTAGTGTGAATTTTTTTGTTATTTAATAGAAATCATTGGTAGTTACCAATACTTTTTTCCAGTGTAGATGTGGCCAGGTAAAAAAACAAACAAAGAAACTTTCTTTTGGTTTCTTCCTTTAGAGGTAACCAAAGGGAACCCTCTGCTTCCATCTCACCTTATCCCTAACATCCTCTGCATGGCCTCCTTCACTACATCCATGAATCTTTTCTGTGGTCTTACTCTTTTCTGTCCAAGATATACACTGACGCTCCTCTCCACATGCCCAAGCCATCTCAGCCTCGCCTCTCCAACTTTGTCTCCAAACCACTCAACCTGAGCTGTCCCTCTGATGTACTCATCTCCAACCCTGTCCATTCTGGTCACTCCCAGTGAAAATCATAATGTTTTCCTCCTCCTAACTCCTCCTAACCTTGTATTTTTATTAGAGTCCCAGTCTCCAAACCACACATTATAACAGGTCTCACTGCCATCTTCAATTTCACTCAAGATTAAAATAATAATATCAATAAAATAATAATAAAGCAATTCCTTTATCCTACATTAGTAGAACATAATAAATAAGACTTAGTCACATATATACAAAATTATAGACGAATTGTTTTTATAGAAATCTTCTAGCAACCGAATAAAGTCGCTTTTTTTCAATTAAATTTCCGATTAAATTTTATTTAATTTCGAGGAACCATTTCAGGTCACAGGCTAATCAGGCTCACAGATATGAGTGCGGACAGCAGGGGTCCCCAGTTCACTGCGTGCTGGCGGTGTACTCCCTGCCTCGATAAAACTCTCCTTTTAGTCAGCAGTCTGCCAAAATCGATGCTGGATCAAAACATTAAAATAAAACAGGAAAAAAAAAATAGTGATTGTTATTTGATGTTTACCTAACATTAACGTAAAACAAACTGCCCGGCCACCGTAACGTCCTCACCAGGGTTGCGCGCGCCTATAGGCAGCGGAAGTTGACTTTAGTTGTTTCTAATAACTTCCGTAACCCGTGCTAACCACAAAACCCAAACAGTTTTAAAGCAAAAATGATAGTTTGCTGCGTGTCTGGTTGTAAAAAGCGGTATATCCGCAGCAAAAAATTGAAATTTTACAAAATACCGTCTCGGGGCCACCGGAGGCGTTTGTGGCTGCGAGCAATACAAGAAGCGAACGGCAGCACTGCGAGACTCACGGAAGATGATCGCGTTTGTGGCGCTCATTTCATATCAGGTAAGCTAAGATAGGAGCTATGCTAGCACTGTAGACATACTGTAACAGAAACAAGCGGTTTGTTGATTAAAATTGTCGGATTTAGCGCAAAGCTTCCTACATATTATTTTTATTTTTGTTTTTGTTTGATAGGAGAAGCATCTATGGAGCGTGATAAGCCGGACTTTGTGCCTTCTGTTTTTACCTGCACCAAAAAAAATCAAAGCCCCAAGAAAAAAGTGAGATGGTAAGACATGTAAAGTAGTGTTGGGTCAGGATAAAATCTGTGAGGATCAAAGTTGTTGGATAGCTTTGTGTTTCTCTGATAATATTTTTTGTCAATTTTTTTAAATTAACTTATTATGTTTTAAATTTAATTGTAATATACTTTTTTGTTACTTATTCTGGTCTGTATTGTCATTAGTTTTAAAAAAAAAAAACGCTTAAAATTAATTAAGGTAAGGGTGTTTTCTGATAGTTTTGCAGCTTCATTGTTTTAAGTGTCCTCTTTAAAATTATATAAAATTAATTTAACTAGGTCCTTACATTTTGATGCTAAACATCTGATAACATGGCTTAATGAATATGGACTGGAGTGTAGCTAAGCTAAGGTCATATAACATGATGGATGCTTGAAGGTTCCAACAGCAGAGTTCACAAATCACAAGTTTTGCAGGTAAAGGATTGATCTTATTTATAGCACCTCATCTATAGGACACATACTGCCCTTTAAAGCAGACAAAATTATTCAAATATTTTTACAGATTTTAAAGCTTGAAATTAAAGTTAAGTGCAATATTCCCCAGGTATTACACCATTTACCAAATCCAAATAATTCATATCCAAAATTTGTGATGGTATTCTGTCCCGTTTTTGGTTTCTCAAAGGTTACTTATTTATTTTCAAAGTTTTAAGTAGGGATTTAAAGTTTACACAATTTTCTGAAGAACGGTATTTTTCCCAGCAAAATCTGTGGTGGTCATTTGAAAAGTCTTCATGTGATGAGTTTAGATGGACAGAATCTTTAGTGAATTATACTAATCATGGTGAGGACTTACTTTTAATTGTCATCATCAGTTTCAAGTAAATGCACACAATGTGATGTTCATTTTATAAATTATGGTCCTCAGATTGAGGCTTCCCAACAGGAGCACAATAACCTATGGGTGATGTCCCAATAGGCATGTCTATGTGGGCTGCAACAAGGCCTAAATAAAGACTGTTTCGAACTCTACTATAACAGATAAAACCCTACGAGAACCTGTTCATTCAATTAATAGAAGGTTGCAGATGTACATAAATGAAGCCTTTATGGTTCAATGTTACAGGTTTTTATAATGCCCATCACTATAAACATAACATTAACAACATATTGACTCGGTGTGTGATATTTAATGTGTGTCCTGTAGTCAGTGCTGTGCTCTGGGTTCATAGTTGTCACATCTCTTTGCTTCTGAGCTCTGTGTGTTTTTGAACAGTGCGAGGAGAGAGGATTGTATCGAAGCTTGTGGTATTTTAAACAGTACTGGTGTTTTCTGTTCTATTTTTCTTCTCTGACTGATCAAAAGCATTAAAAAAAACTTTTTTATTTTCACTGAGTGGGCGAGAAGCACATTCAGGTCTACTCTGGCCTATAGCTATAGCCAGCCCAGGTCAGGGTTACAAAGGTCATCCCTTGGTATTAGTTTCCATAATAGAACAGGCACAGTAACTGGTAATGAATTAGAAAGGGTGATAAATATTCAGTAAACAAGCTGCATAGTTATCTCTCATCGTATGTGTTCTGTGTACATATTGGGTCACAGATCCTGAACTGTTGAAAATCTGTGCAGCTTTACAGTGTATGACAAAAATAAGGTGTTAATGCTAATGTTAATTTTCTTTTACACTTTGATGAGTACTGTAGATATGAGACCCACTTTTATAGATCACTTCATATGTTTGTTTGTGTTTTGTTTTTTTGTTTTTTAAGGATTTATGGTCGTAGAAAAAGGCATCGCCGGAAGGCAAGAGGCAGAAGAGAGGAAAATGCAGCTCCACTTCAAGCTGATTCTTCTGCGAATCCCGAGCCGTCTGTTTTGATGCGAACTGAAAGTGAACTTTCAGAAGAAATGCAGACGCCAGCAACCCCCTCAGTGCCAAAGGTAGCAGCCACAACTTGCTCTTTCTGTATATCTTTTCTACTTGGACATTATGCAAAATAGCTGCGTTTTTGTTTGTTGTAAAGTAGTTGTTTTGTAAGACACGAGTTGCAAGATTGTCATAAGTATTTTTATTTTCTTCTAATGATAAATTCTTTACAATTCTTTAAATTTTTTGCCTCTGTTTGTGTATTTATGTTTTTCAGGAAGGAGAAACGGTGGCAAAAGTGTCTGAGACTGAAGCAGAAACCCAAATTATCCAGTCTCAAACAATGCTCGACTTAAATAAGACATCACCACCCTTCAAAGGACTACCAGACACCCTAAAACTAGATAAGAGAAGGCCAGTTGTGCTCCTGAAACCTTTAGTTGCATCAGAAGGTGGTTATCGGTGTGAACTGTGCAGTCAGACCTTCCCTGATATACCACAGCTGGTAAAACACAAACGGCTGCATGAAGAACAAAGCTCCTTTGTCTGTGAAAATTGTGGAAAAATCTTCATAACTCAGGCAGATTTCAGTGAGCACCATGCTGTGCACAGGGATGAGCCCCTCTTTACGTGCAACATGTGTGATCGATCTTTCACCACGATTCACCAACTGAAGCGTCATAAACTGCTCCATGTTAAAGATGGCAGGAAGTGCCTCAGGTGTGGCACGCTGTTCTGCCAGCGTCACAACCACATTTTATTCCTTCCGCAGACAGAGTTTAAAACAGAGTCTGAGCCTGAGGACAGTTCCTCCAGGAGTGAGACAGAAAATGAACTGGAACCAAGCCAGATGACTGAAATACCTGGCAACACTCAGAGCTCAAGGACCGTTACACCTCCACTGTCTACTTCTGCTTCAACTGCTGCTCCTACACCCCCAAATCCTGGATTTCTATCCAAGCCCCCACCTTTGTCTTCATTCAGTATATTACCAGAAATCCCCCCACCGGTGTTGCTGAGACCGTGTCCTGTGCCTCGTCGACTCTATCCAGAAGTGAGACACTCAGAAAACCCGGGTTCCTCATTTCACCATGACTTGTTCACCCAAAATACAGAACTTCCATCTTCACTGAAGATCTTTTCACCTCAGTACCTCACCTCAGCCTTCCTAGAGGTTAAAAGAAATTATGAATATATTTTAAGCAAGCCGAAAAAATGTAGGGTTAAGAATCCGGTGAAGAAGGAACAAAGTGAGGCACCAATAATTTCACCAGAAGAACACACTAAGCCAGAAAAAAAGGAGAGAATAGCTTATGACCTGGAGATTATGCTCTGATCTGAATAATGGATTAGAATGACCTGTTTACTTACCTGACCTGTTTACTTACCTGACCTTTTTGCCTTACTTAAGATGTTCAACATTAGTGCTCCTATCCTATTAGTGTTTCTGTTCTTTGAGTTAAAAGGCATTTTAACAAAAGCAAGGCTGTGTTCAGTATTAAACCCGTAGTGTTCGGCTTATACTTGCACCACTTTTGCCTCTCTTAGCACACTGATATATTTGTAAGTACTGTGATGCTGATATAATTTTTTTTAGTTCTGTAGTTAAAATCTTTTACTTCTTAATCAGTGATGAGGTGCAATTGGTTTTTTTTTCCACTGCTGTTTGATAAGTAATACTGTTATGTATGTAAAAGATAACTGACCTGTGTTGTAAAACTGCACCAGGTGGGATTTGGGCTTCAGGCTGTATTCTGTACTTGGCAATTTGTGCCGTAATAATCACTTTAGTCTGTGGAAAAATGCACCGTGTGCTACAAACGGCATCAATAATATGATCAAGCATCTCTAATAACAATTGCCACACAATTCAGTTTTCACATCTGCCTCAGCTAACTGGAAACAGATAGCGGTTGCAGCGTATATTACATACATAAACCAATCAGCCGTAACCTTGAAACCGTGAATAACCTTGATTGCACTATTACAATGGTTGGTTCTGCTGGCAAACCTTGAGCTCCCAGGAATTCGTGTGGGTGTTACTTTTACGTGCAGCACACGCCTACAAACGGAAAGGCTCGAGGAGCACGACAAAGAGTCCAAGGTGTTGACAGGGCCTCTAAACTCTCAGATCTCAATCCAGAAAAACGGCTGATCCACAGAGGCCGCTACAGCAGAAGACAGCCGTTGCTCCTGGCCACATGCCGAAGAGGACAAATCCAGAGGGTCCAGTACGCGTGCCATGAGGGATTACAGTTATTTTGTCAGATACCAGGTGCTTTTTATGTTGCTGATCATATGCAGTGTATATGATCAACAACATGTATGTATGATGTAGCTACAGTTACATCAACCATTTATTACATTTTGTGCATTTTTTTTTTTTAGTTGTCCTCTTTGTTTTGTTTTTTTTGTTTGTTTTTTAATCTGTATATGAGAAGTGGATCTGACTGTGAAACCAATGCTGTTTGTTTACTAAAATACATTATGGTTATGGTTCGAGTAAACAACTTCCAGCTAAAAAATGCCTCCATCAAGTGTTTGTCGAATCTTTAAAGTGAACGGTAAAATTCTCTGAGAGCAGAATTAACTACCAACACTCCTTCATTAACTACAATCAATTAAGTTTAGTTTAGAGTCTTCATAAAAGAGGTACATTGGTCACAGGGATGTCATCCATTGATTGCTAAGCTCCTTTTTTTTTTTTTTTAACTCTTTTGTTTTTTGTCATTTTAGCTTTTTGAAACTGGACTTCACAAGTGTGTGTAGAGGTAAAACAGAGGGATACTAAGGGATGCAGCATGTTTTTGTGAAGGCCAGCTCACTGTAGAGCATACCCTGCTTTACCTTGCTTTTTCGGCTTGAATGGGGGCCGTAACTAGCAACTGAGACTATACGCTAATTGGGAAAATAATAAAATGACTGCAGTCATAGGTCATAAAGGCTCATTTTTCCTCACGATCATATTGGTTACATAAAACTCAATATGGTCATCCCACATCACTTTTTAGCTGGCTTTTAGTCACTAGTGGATCTTCCACACTGCCGTTGTGTAGCAGATCCGTTTAATGTATTCATGAACATCTCATATCAATTAACAGTATGTTTTGATCCCATGCTTAACTCCAAAAGTGCTCACGTTCCATCGCTCAGGGTTATGTCACCTGCTGTTCCTACAAGTTGCTGAATTTAATTAACATTTTGTGGTCTCTTATATGGATTAAGGCACCTTCGGCTTCGCTTTTCTGACTTGTAAGCTATGATATTTGCACTGTTTGCACACAATATGGAGTTTTAATTTCCCATTTGTAAAAAGAAACAACTTTGGACTGATTATGTTTTATTTTTGTTTGTTTGTTTTGTTCTTCTTCAGCTGACCTGTATGTATATTTACTCAAATGTAGAAATGACCGAAAACATGGACAAATGGAAAGATTGAACTACCATGTACCCATTTCCCCCACACCAAGAAGCACCTAACCAGCTATAGCTGTCCAAATGACACATTCTTGGAATAGCATTATCTGTTAAAATAGCTAAAGCTATTTCTCAGCTGGTGATTTGCAGCTGTCTACTGCGTGCCCATTAGACTTGCTCTCACATGGACACAGGAACAAGAGAAAAAAAATAAGCTGTATGAAGTGAAATATGCTCTTTACATAAGGTAATAAAATAAAATTGCTGTATTATATTTTTTTGACTTTTGTTCATGCGTAGATTTCACAGAGTTGTAACAGTTTTGAAGGGAAGTTCAAGGTTGTCAGACCAAGTAGTCTCTGTCCTGATGGTGGCTCTAGAGGGATTGTTAAAATGACCCAAAAATGTCTGTCTAACTTTCTTGGACAGTCTTCCTGTCAGTGTGTCACACTGCATTAAAACCACCTGCTTCTTCTGTGAGCTGACTGCACAGAAAAACCCCGCAGTACAGCAACAATAAGGTGTGTACTAGTTTTCATTGCTTGGAACTTTTCTTGCTATGCAGCTGAATTTTCCGAGGAGGATTTTTACTTTAACTGCTGCATGGATGTGAAGTAAAAAAAAAAAAAAAAGGACCCCATTGCTCTATAATCCAACCTGCCAACCACAGTTTACATAGTAAAAGTCCTATTTGGCCATACAGATGTTTTCAGTTAACATTGCGGTTATAAAGCCTTTATGTTATCAACTTCTGGGTCGTTAGGTTCAGCTGCATCGATCTGGTGAATGTTTTCACACTGTCTGCAATTGAGCCGTGACAAATATTTTAATAATTAATCATAATGTGAAAATGCAGACTTGACTCGACTATTCCGGAGAAAGCTGGATCCGATGTATAGTGCCCTTGAGCATGAGACTGACAAAGTGTTACATTTTTTTTAAGATGAAAAACCCTATTTTATATTAAAAAAATGTTTATACATTGACAAGTAAACCAGTGAAAAAACAAGTAAAAATTATCTCTAGTAGTGTCTATTAGTATGTTATCTAAAATCTATTTAATTGACCTCTTTTGTGTGTTTGTCCCCCCTATTTAGCTATTTTGTTTTTCATACCTTAATTTATAAGTTTTGTTTTATGTTTTTGCTGCTGGAGGAATTTATTATGTGCTCACTAACACTTAGAACTACAAAGCAGCTTGCATTATTAGGAAGCAGAAAACCTATCAATCTTAATAAAAGTAAACAACAACAAAACATTTGATTGATTTATCATCTTTTGAAAGCACAATTTTCAAATTGCTTCGACAGGTAAAAGTATAATACTTTAAATTGCCAGATTGCCAGGCGTTAAAGCCACAAATCAAAGTGAATAAAATTAAAAGGCAGTTAAGACCCAGTAAAATATCGCATAAAAGTGGATGCAAGAGACTTTTTAAATTAATTATTTAAAAGCAAAACCCATTAATCCCCATTACATGAGGAAATACAACAGCCAAATGGCCTTTTTGTTGATCGTGTTCTTCTTTTAAACCCAGTATTATGGGTGACTAAATAGAAAGTGAAACAAATATTAAGCATAAACCTACGTTGAAATTATGGCAAAGGACACACAGCATATGCGTAAATACGCATGAACACTATTTATTTTTAGCCTTTAAATCATCATCAGCTTTATATTTCAGGGTTGCACATCGGTGAGGGATCACTCAAACTAACCATTGTCTTTACATTTGCATTTATGAATTACTTAAGACGAAGAAAATGTAGGTTATGTTTGAAATATTTATTTCATGCACAATGGTAACATTAAATTAAAACTGACTTTCTGATTGAATTTGCATTTTATCGATGAACTAAATGAATAAGAGATCATGTAGATTAAGGGTACATTGGACTTTTTGCATACGTTCAGAGAGGGCATTCCTCCGCATCCACAACAGTCCCGTCTTCAGTCCATCTGTACGCTGTCCACGTCTCATTGGTTCGGATGCGCGGGGTTATGCAGGGCGACGATTCTGTTTGGACCTTCCTGCTGTCACATTAGGGTGACGAAAGCGAGGATTGGCTGAGATCCGTTCAGCAGCGGTTTAGATTGGCCGATGTGTCGTCGCGTGGCTTCATAGATGGCAGGTTAGTGGTGCTGATGCTGTGACAATGGGAGTCATCCAGATATGCATCATCTGGCCCGAGTGTGCCTGAAAGACAGCAGCAGGACCCAGGCTTGTTGTTATTTTAAAGGGACGGAAAAGTAGCAGCAGAGACACGAGGATCATCCTGCTGCTCTGAGAGGGTGAGTTTTACGCACGGAAAACAAACTGGCATGCTGCTGGCGGGGGGCCTCATAGCTGTTTTTGGTGTGAAGTGGGGGGGGG